CCCCCAGCATAATTCACAGGGCGTGAGTCACTTTGCTCGGCCACGTGGGTGTCTGATGATCCGCGCTCCAGCGAGGGGCCGATTGATAAGCCTCCCCTTCTCTCCACTGAAACTTTGACATCCAGAGCCGCCAGCTTTGCCTGCCATCCGTGCCTACCTTTAAGCGCCCTGCGGACCCGCGGGGTGATGGCTTCAACCTCCTTTCACGTAGGGATGCCCCCTTCGTCCCCCATCCTGAGGTTCTTGGTAGTTGCCGAAGCCATTCATTGTAGGATGAGTTCCTATTGAGTGCGTTCTGTTTGTATGCAGGTGTGTGGTTAAAAGGACGTTTGTTGTTCAAGGTACTTTTATACTTGCCTACTAGTGGAAAGGTTCGAAACAACAAAACAAGTAAATCCTTTAAAAAATAGTAACTGATCAAAAGTTTCACTCAGACTGGAATTCTAGTTTCTGTCTTTCCTCACACGTGGAAAAGAGACGATCAAAAACAAACAAAAAACAAATGCAAAACTAGAACCTGCAAAGGACTGTTTTATCTTGACACGTATAATGTTTTTGCATCCTGTTGCTTGAGGGTCACGTCCTCTGAAGTTCAGAGGGCAGGCGCCATGCCAATGGAAAACCCACATCTTGAGCAAGGCCTACATCATTTAGAAGGTTCTTTACCAATAGTGGAGAAAACATGAGTTCTTTTGCTCTATCTACCAATAAGCAGAGGTTGAGAAAGGAAGTTTATTCCCTAAACAGCTACTCTTGAGTTGGCCAATAGACCTTGGAGGCTTAGAAAACTCCAGTCACAGAAAACGGTGTGGCAACACAAAATACCATTATGTCTGAGATCTTCCACATTAAGAAGAAAAGTGTAGCTGAGTTAGCAGTTTCTCAAAGTGTGCCCCCCCCACCATGGGGGGGCACTCATACAATATTTTAATGATAAAGCAGGAGACAAAGGAAAAGCATGTGCAGCGGCTGTGCTCACGCTCCATGATTGTAAGGGGTATTCCATGAGGAAAGTTCTGAGAAGCACTGTGTAAAAGACCATTGCCATTGATTCATCCTGTCACTGTCGAGTTATAGGTAGGAGTGCCCCCCACAGTCCATAATGCCAACCTGGCATGTGTATAACCTAATGCGTTCTACTTGTCGGAGAGCATAAACAAGATGGTCAATATAGGCTATAATTAAGAATTGCTACCAAACTCTTTGGCTCAATCAATTAGCCTTTGGTAACAATGTGACCTGTTTTCATTTCTTGAGCCTGACCTACATAGTATGGGAGTGGATGAAATGGAAGGGTTAGAACTTCAGCAGTCCCTTTGGCTCACTAGGGCAGAATCGGCTGTGAAACTCCGTCAAATCCTCTCTACACCTTATTTGCCCTTCTATACATAGCATTCCCAATGAGCGGAAGTAGTTTTGACTTCAAGGAGTCTTGGCGCTACTTTATGTGAGCGCACAAAGATACATTGCAAAACTCGGGTGTGTGGTTTATAAGAGCAAAAAAGAAAAAAAGGTAAACAGCAATCCAATGGTAAACCAATAGGAAACAGGTTAAATCAATGATGGTATGCCAATGCAAGGGGAGACTGGGTAGTACGGAACCATTACTTTTTCCACCATCCAGTGAGCTATGCCTCCCTGACCCTGCCATCAGCCTCAGTTCCCATACAATCAGTTTGAGAATCACTGATATAAATCAAGCTGTCCAGCCTTGACCTTGAGATGTAGGCGCTGTGTGTGGATTCAATGATGAAACACCAGCAAACACAGAAATCATATCTTTGGTATATCAGCTTTTAATAACTGGTTGATTCAGGTATGAAACCCAAGAAGCAGAGGTGAAAGCTCTTTGCGACCTATCAAGCAGCTATGTTCCTGAGTTCCTTATTACAGAAATCAGTTTATCTTCTGGGGTTTAAAGTGCATTTGGTTTTCTTTTCATCTCCTGCCCTCCTACTTGGCCATGCAGACTATATCCATAGCTCTTTAATCTGCGGCGCTTCTGATGCACCTGCACAGGCTTTATCAAAACCCCTTGAGGATTCTCGAGCTGTTAGTCTCCTGTGTGAAAACAAAACAAGGGAAATGAAACCCAAACCACTGACAACATCACGTCCATACAGATTCTCCGTGAGCTCAAGCACGTCAGGGAAGAGCTAGCCTCTAGGGCGCTTAGACTTTCTTCCCAGGTGTCTCTGGCTGGATGGATTCCAACTGAGAATATTTCAGTTAGTAGCCAAGTGTTGAAGGAGTGCTGGCAGCATAGTGGTTATAAGTTGGGCTGCTAGCCACAAGGTCAGCAGTTTAAAATCACCAGCCTGCTCAGAGGGAGAAAGATGGGGCTTTCTCCTCTCACAAAGAGTTATAGTCTCAGAAATTCAAAAGGGCAGTTCTATAAAGTCACTCTAAGTTGGCATCTACCCCATGACAGTGAGTGAGCCAAGTGTTGAACTATTGGTACCATTCAGGGATAAGGGCCATTGATTCCTGTAGCTAATTGGTATGTTAAAGTTCTTTCACTTTATTACCTTGTTAGATTAAGAAATCAAGCTTCTCTCCAGCTGTCCTGGACCATTATGACTAAGGGGGCCCTGTGGAACTGTGGCTGTGCTGTCTGCTTACAAAGTATAAGACGTAGTAAGGAGCAAGGTGAGGGGTGGGGTGCCAGTGGGCTTCCTTCTATTGGGTTCTTCTGAGGACTGCCAGCTTGGCCTCTTTTATCCTCGAGTTTGTCATTTGATGTGCTAGTGCATACAAGGGACCTTTGGTGACAGTGAGTTATGCACTGAGCTGCTGTTCACTCGCGGTCAGTGGGTTGAACACACCAGCTTCCATAGGAGAAGGTGAGGCTGCTTACTCCTGTAAAGATGTGAAGCCTGGGATAACCAAAGGGGCAGCTCTCCTCTGTCCTGTAGGATTGCTGTAAGTCAGAATTGACTCGGTGGCAGGCAGTTTTGTAAACTCAAACCACATGATCTGCCATCGAGTTGATTCTGACTCATAGCAACCCTGTAGGACAGAGTTAGAATTGCCCTGTGGGCTTCTGAGGCTGTAACTCTTTCTGGGATTGGAAAGCCCTGTCTTTCTCCCATGGAGCAGGTGGTGGATGCTCAACGTATAATTCACTATGCCACTAGGCTCCTTGCCCATGCATGTACCAGTAGTTTGCGATGTTTGTCTGATCCCATGAATGAAGTCAGTTGAGAATAATGGCAGCTGAATGATTTGAACTTATTGCAGTGTCACCATTACAAACTGTTTTAACATGTTTTGAGGGTTTGAGATTCCACTGTACTCCAGTGAAACTGTTATTGATGCAATTTCGGTACTCAATGGGGGTGATAACATGAAGTGTAATGGGGTCTCTTCTCTCAGCTCCAGTCAGTTAATACTTAGTGAAATGTGTTAAT